TCTAAAATAAAGTTCTGTTTCAAGAAAATTTTCATCGCGTATAAATTCAGTATAACGATAAATGTGATTTAATTCTCGAAACTTGAGATGAAAGTTAAACAACTTTACAGACAAATCTAATTGATTATAAAGCTCAAAATATATTTTCGTAAATATTTATTTTTATAATCAAAGCATAAAAAAATTTCTTTTAAACCTACACGTGTTTAGACAGAAGACGCGTTCGAGAGTGAAATTCGATGAAATATACAAAAATAATGGAGGTGGAAGGTTCTTCTGTTTGTTGTTGAATGTTCTGATCTTGATCGGAATACATAGAAATTCATTGAAATGATTGCCACCCGACAGCTAGGTTGATGGTTGAATAAGAACCAAGCGACAGTCACGTGGTAACCACTTGGGGTTATTATAGAAGTAAAATAAAATTTGGGCAGGTTACACTGAAAACAAAACAAAAATTAATTAATTATAGCATAAATACACTGTTTCAAGACTTTTAAGCATTCGATGGGCCGATAAATCGATAGTAACGGAGATAATAAAACAAACGCGAGCTCTCTACTTTGTCTAATTAAAAAGTTTTTCTTCACCCGAGCAGCCGAACAGCCGAACAAAGTGTATTATTAAGCTACCTTTTAGTAACAAGTTTAAAAAATACGCTAAAAACTTCAACTCCAAGTCACAGCAATGCACAAAATCACAAATTTCTAACCAGCTTTAAAGTCATTATATCAAAAATCTACAAACAAAATCTCATCAAATCCACTTAAATCAATTCTATTTCAAAAATACGATGAAAAAAGATTAAAAAATTTCCAACATGTAGCTAAGCTACTTAAAGCTATAATCTTTAGTCTTTATAAGACGAAATCAGAGAACTATGAAGGTAAAAATCACAATAAATTTGCATACGTGAAATAATTTCTTATTATAATTTTTGCCGTGCTATCATGCAGAACTAATACCAATTTTCAGTCTAGTCTCTTATTAATTCAGAGAATGGAAAGTTTATTTTATGTTATGGTTTCTATCTTATGAATCGATAATAAACGTTCATTGTGCACTTGCATGAGTTCGTTAGCTTCTAGCTATAAAATTTATATTCAATCGGGTGGTCTCACGAGAGCTTTTGTTTTGCGATTTATTCATATTAACCCTCTTCAATATATGCTCTACATAATTTTTTTTTAGATTCTATATTTTTTGAAAAATATGGACGGCAATAAATTCATTTTGTATGAAGAATGGAACAGTTGATTGGTTTACAAGTTGAATAGGTGAATTATTAATTGATTGACCTTTTTAGGAAGGGTGGGAGGTGAGTTTATGGCATGTTCATTGACAACTGAATTGAATAAATCATAAAAGACAAGTAAATTTACATGACTTGATTGAGAAATGATTGAGTTAATAAATTATTAAATTATTATTGAGGGTGTTTAAGGCTTCTAGTACTTTATAGGCTATTTTATGATTTTATGGACTTAATTACTGTAACCATGTTCTTATGTGGAGATTAGTTTATAACAAAAGCTTTTCATCTAACTCTGCTGCTGGCTCTGTCACCTGGTTTGTAAAATTTTTTCCGTCTGCACATTAAACTGACATTCTTTCATCATTGTTCTGCGACAAGTAGCTTTTGGACTTGTAGATTAAAACCATGGACGATGTAGCAAACTTGTGTTCCTATCCCAGCATTGGCATTTTCTCAGGCAATGATTTATGGTGCATTCGTTATTAACGACCTAGTCACAAACTTGAGTCATATGCTATTACTAATTTTGAAGTCTTTGAAACATTTAAAATACAGGCTCGAAAACTAGTCGGCATTTTAAAGGCGTTATTTAGAAATATTTGAGGAGTGTTTGGCGGTATATCGTCTATTTCTCGGGCCTGGTATAAAATCACATTTTTCAAGTTCCTGTCCAAATTTGAATGCGCTTCTGCAAAAAACAAATTAATCAAAACTCATGCTTCTTGTTGTACTCAATTCCTTCAACATTTTGTGTACACCATACCAATCTGTGCGGCGATATCGATAGCGTATTTGAAGCTAATAACTGCTTTCTTCCTTCCTTCCTCTTCTCAACTCCAAACATTGTCTTAACACGCGCTTAAAATATTGAGCACTTAAGCTAAAGTTTTATGCACCATCCGTCTATCGTTATCTTAACTTGGTCTGTTCTGCTTGCATGCTGCAAGTGAGATAATTTCATTCTTTTTACATTAAAAAAAATTGTTGAGAAAATGTAAAAACTTTTTCAAGATTTCTTTTTTTTCTATTAAAGTTTTTAAATTCTTTGCAGTGGCTGTAATGCAGTTGAGCTAGTGGATCTCACGATTTAAATTGATGAAGGTGTCTTATTGTTTTAAAATTTATTGCTTTTCATCACTGCTGCAATATTCTTTGATTGAAAACTTTTTTTTCTTTTGTACTTGTTGCTTGGATATCTTATTGTACAATCTACTTTTGTTCTTGTTTCATTTTCTTTTCTTTTCTCGTACTGATGCAATATTTTGGAGATGATTCAATTCTGTACTGAAATAAATGATTTATTTTCTTATTTTCTCTTGAATTATTTTTAAATTGAAAAGCTTTTTTTGTGTAGTTTTTAAATGAAGGACTTTTTATAAAGAAAAGCTTTTTATTCTATTTAAAGTCAGTTAAGGAAATATGATAAGCATTAATGTAAATTAAATATTTTTAATGATCTGGTTTGGAGTAAATTTAATGCAGAACTTTATTTATTAAATCTGGAATGAGAGTAAGTAACTGTTGTTGACGTATGCATCGTCATTATCTTGACAAATAATGCTACTCTATTAAACTATTAAAATTAATTGAAATTTTTGGTAAATTTGTTAATTTGACATTTATTTAAAACAACTAGAATAATTAATAGTGTAGCGAGGGTGCTGTAGCCCACCCCCTTTACCGCCAAACTAGATTCACTTTATTTATTTCCTTTGCTAATGCGCGCGAAGCTTCATTGCCCCATTCAGAGTTCGTCTAAAACTGGCTCTATCTTTAGACAATTTTTGATGATGATGTCCTTTTAATCCACTGTAAAGTGTAGGGCGTTTGCGAAACTTTAGAATCTAACGCGATTAATAGCTAATGCCGCAAGATCACTGAGTTGATAGCCCTGCTGACCCGTTTCTTTACGAATAGACGATTGCCAAGTAGGACTAGATCTCTCAGGCTTTAGACAAATTCTGTCAGTTTCTAAATTTTCAACACATTTGCATCGTTAGGGCCGTTCATTTATGACGTCCGACATTTAGGGGGGAGGGGGGTCTAGGATTTTGTGACAGTTCAAACAATGGAAATATTATTCTTTAGAATTTTTGTGACAGAGGGGGGGAGGGGGTCTAAAAATCAGGTTGTTTGATGGACGTCATAAGTGAATGACCCCTTACTTACACAGCCATTTTATGAATTCTTCGGTCAATCTCGAGATTTCATATCATCCAAAAATTCAGCTGATGTTCCTTCGAGTGCCGATGTACCCAACCAGCAATAATGACGATAAATGATAATTAGAAGCTCATATAAAAGTTAATTTGAAAAACTTATTCGATAAAGTTGAATTAAAATGTTTTGTATAAACCAAGAATTTACTAAGTTTGATTGATTGTGAATGAAGCAAGAATGTAATGCTCATCAACCTGTAAAAAAATCCAGAGCTTGAAGTAGATGAAATTTTGTAAAGAGTCGAGTAGACTTCGAGCTCTGAAAGAAACTGACTTATTATTCTATAAACTTGAATAAATGTAAAATATTCTCTATAAAATGTCATCAGTTAATTTCCAATTCACAAACGTAGCTAAACATTTCTTCAAAAATCAAGACGAAAAAGGCAAATCTGAAATATTCAATACGATTTAATTCAGAAAAATTCATCAGCAAACATTTAATTTCCTTTTCTACAGTTTCATTATACTTTTTTTTTCTTCATTTTACGCTGTCCTCGTTTTGTCAACAACGATGAAATAGAGGGAAAATAGCTTGAGTGGAAATGCTATAATCGTAAGCTTTTCTATTTGTTGGTTGATGTTTTAATCACATTTGGATAGCTTCGAGAGTTTTTATTTTAAATTAACGATTTAGGTTATCAAAGCATTTTCATTGTTTGGGGCCGTACACTTATGACGTCCAGAGGGAGGTGGAAAGATCAGCAACAAAAGAACAATAGAAATTCCTGGAATTCCATTTTTCTTTTAACCGTTAATATCGGAAGTTATAAGTGAACGGTTTCTTAGCTTGTTCGTTGCATTCTGGTTGCTAATATGATGTGAAAAAAAAAGGTTTGACTTGACCGTCTTGAAGACAAGTCAAAAGCTTTCATAAAAACGAGCGCTTAGTTTCCCTGAAAGGCACTCGGTGTGAAAATGGCTTCCAAGACAGCAACAACACATCTCAACCCTAGATTTCACCAAATCCGCCATTTTTATGCATGATGCCTTTGGGTTTATGCCACATGATGACTTGACTAAGCCTCAATAATACAAATTTACTTATGATGATGATGATGGGTTCCTGTTACTCCACTATGAAGCGTAGGACGTCCACAAAGCATTTGAATCGCACTCGATTCTGGGCCAAAGAATTTGACTTATGAGTTATCTTAACTAAGGTCTCAATTGCTCTACTACTGATGTTCCGTACTTTAGTACCACTCCTATCTAGTATCTACTCTTTATCATCGTAATCAATTCCAACTCATACCACTAGACATGGTTATTACTGTTTATGTGACCTTGAAAGCCTACCTTTGACAAATAAAGTACAGCTACAAAATCCAAAGCAACGAGATTCTAATTTTGCGACAATCTAATGTAAAAATATACTTTTTCAACAAAATTAAATCGCCCCACCAAACCATCAATCCCCCTTTCCCATTCAACATAACTAAAAATAGAGAAGAAGAGAAAAAAAAATTAATTTATTTGAGTGAAGAAAAATTCAATTTAATTTAATTAAAATTAAACTTTATAAATTTCCATTTCATTACATCTGAGCTAATGACTATTAGTTTTCTTTTGAACAGTCGCACTAATTGATGAAATTCCATTACCAGCAACTCCACTTTCATCACTAAATGTGACCTTCTTTGACTTGTCAAGATAGACGCTACGTTTCGAGTTACAGCGTTCCTTAACACACACAACAATAACGAGTAATGTCAAAAACACAACCGATGTTAGGAATAATGTCAAAAAACCATCTAATCCACCACTCGGTGTAAGTATTGGATCACCAATAACTTGAGAATCTTCATTCGATGAATTTGTCGGATGATTGTCGAGTGGTATCGATGGATGACTTCCATCGGTAATTATAAAATCCTTTACAAGACCATTGTTCAAATATTGTTCAAAGGTTTCCTTCATTTCATCCCTTCTCAAATCAAATTCATGCTCATGCATGTCATCGAACTCACATGGGTCGGTCTGCAAATCAAATAGACATGGAGTTGTACGACTACATTTGATATTGATGACAATGGATTCATTTATGTCCTTTATATTACAATGGACTTTTGCTCGATTTCTTATTAGCATAATCTTGTTTGCTGTTATGTCATCAAACAGTTCATGGACATCTGACGAGGTAATTGATTCAACGTATGTATTAAAGTCATAATTGTCATTTATAATACTTTCCATGTTTTGATTGTTGATACTGTCATAAATGATTGAATTTGATGTGCCATAACAGAGCTTCCAGTTATCATCGATAAAAAAGTTATCGCCATAAATTGATGTACGTACTTTTCCATTAATGTTAAGTGCCTTCCATTGATTTACGCCATCAATAAAAATTCGATCTTTTGTACGCCATTCGAGTTGTGCTGCATCGACGAGAGTCGGGAGGATATCACTAATATGAATTAATTCATTCGAGACGCTTTGTGGAAGGGATAATAATTCACTGTAGATAAATGCTATACGGCGAATATTGCTTTCAATGGGAGTCTTTTGCATCTCATATGCATTTTCTGTTGGCAATGCCATGAAGATTATTATTGTGTCTTTGAGGATTTCTCGTTCATGTAGTTTTGACACAATTGTGCCGACAATGTCATCAAGAATTGATATTTTGACTAGAAATTGATAAAATAAAGTTAATATTTGTTCTATTCCATAAGAGTTAAGAGCTATTAAGTAGGGATCATTCACAAATGATGTCGATTGAATATTGAGTCTAAATTAATAAAGTCTGAATATTTGTCTAGATCAGGAGGCTGCATGGGGACATCTATATCAGGATTGCACTAAGCAACAGGTCTCAGACACAATTTTTAAGTCTGTGCTGGTTTTAATGCTACTTGATTCAAATGTTGATTCAAGATGACTAGGGCAAGTACCTCGACTAGCCAGGGGCTTTTTTAGTGACCAATACAGACACTCGAATAACTTAAATACCTAGAAAATATCTCTATCCTCAATTGTGTCCTTAAATACGGTCAAAATCTTATGAAGATGCTTATGACATTCAATTTGGACCTCAACTTCAATGAAAGACATCATAAGTGAACAACCACCAATACTCACTGTCATATCCAAGATATCCAAAGTCAATAGATATCAAAAATGGCTCATTGTCATTTGTAATTGATTCAAATATCGTATTGTAGAATAATCCAGCACTTGTGTAATTTTTTGATGATAAAAAGTTCACATTATATCCATTACGTTCGAAATATGTTGACATAAGATTGGGATTGCCGTATGACGAGCGTTTATAACATCCCGAGTAAAGTGACTCACTTCCACCGCTTGAGTAAAAGTGATTCAATATTATTCCAGCATATGCCAAACGATCAATGTTTGGTGTTGAATTTTCATTGTCGACTTGGTTCACATGAATACCCAAATCGTTCCAGTTCTGTGGGAAGATACAAAAATAATGTGAGATAAAGTTCTGTCATGGATGTCGTTGAATACCATGAAGGCTTGATAAATAGGTCCGTTTGGCACATTAAGTCGAGCATTTAGTCAAGGCAAAGAATGGAGAGGGCTCAGCCTTTTGAGCTGGAGGCACTGCGATTCAAATGAGAACATCCGTCAAAGTTAAATGAAAAAGTTAAAATTTTATCGACATTTTTTCCAATTGTTTGTTCTGTTTTTTTTTGGGGGAGGTACTAAAAGTGTGATCACGTCATTTCAAATTTACACTTACAAACTATCCCAGACAGCACAAATTGGTTAATCAAGCAGAAATCCGACAAGAACCCAGCATGAATCTGGTACGGAGCTTGATTGAAATCGAATCCAGGACCATGCTAAAGCCTGGCATGGGATTTCTGATAATTAACCATTTTGTGATTTAGACTTGAACTTGACTGCCATGTGTATTTAGACTTGAAATCTACTTAATTTTTTTTTAAATTGAAAAATTAGCCTTAAACGATAATCAGCCCTTGAACTTTACAACCGACACATGGCAGAAACATGTGCAAGATCTAAGACTTATCTCTGTGACAACCATAATATTTGTTTGATAATATTTATTAAGAAAGAAAATATCTGCTTGATGCATGATATCCCCCCGGTGATGAACTAATTTTCTTAGCATTTTTCTAGAGTATTAATAATGTTGTACAGCGTTAAACAATTTTTTTATCTCATTAATTAAGGGTAATCAGGCTTAATATTCCAAACTTGACTGCTTGGTCATATTTATAATTGTAAAATATTTTTCAAACATAAAAAAAAAGTTTAAAATCCAATTATTATATTTTTTATCAAAATTTTCATATTAATAGTCACTAGCCTTCAATTTACTAAGCTTTTTATTTTTCTTTCAAGGTTTTATTTAAATTTAAAAAACATAATGTTTGTGCCTTGAAGTCAAAAACAAATTCCTCATTAGATCCCCAACTTTGATAATTTTGTTAACAACCTCATAACAAGCACTATCAATAAGAGCTCTGCATCACTTTGCAATTGATAAGTTGCTACTGTCAAGAGTTATTTAATAGATCTTGTGATATTACCCAATAGGTAACAATTCAAAAGTTTTGATGATTGTATATAAAATAAACCTGCTTGACTTCCCACAGACCTGAATCCAGATTCTAGGGCTGCCGAGGCACCCTAATCTAGTCTCAGATTAATTTTATTTATATTCTTGACTGTGATACATCGAAATTGATTTTTGTCCTAAGGTAACCTTAGAAAACCGGCCCTGCTGTTGGAAATTGGGAAATATTCATCTTAATATGCCTCTAGGCAGGGGCGTAGCCAGGAATTTAAAGAGGGGGGGGGACAATTTTTTTTGTATGGAAAACTTTTAGGGGTGGGGGATTTTATCGAGTCTAAAAACTTTAAAAAAATGAAGAAATTTCTCAAGACGAAGGGGCATTTGTCCCCCCAATCCCCCCCTGGCTACGCACTTGCCGATCGGTACCCATTTAAATAATCCAAAAAAAATATGCATACCAAGTTATTGACATGCAATAAGACAACATTTGGATGCTTTGTATCATTAATAATTATATTCGACACGACAATATGAGTTAAAGCAAGGAGAAGAAACGATAGTTTCAGCATCATTTTATGCTCCAATTCCTCGATAATAAATAAGAATGAAAAACTTCTTTTGAGCTTTTGACTGCACAATAAAAAAATATTGCGTTGTCTCCTTCTCTTGTTCTTTCACAAATAATACACAAAATCCATTCACTTTATGTTGCACTATAAAAACTTTTGCCGTGTCTTTACTCGTTCTCGTAGTTTTTCGTTCTGATGAAAAAAAAACTTTTATTTTTGTGACACACAAAAAAAAGTTTAATGAAAAGTCACAGTTTATTTACACAAGAAGTCAATTAATATGTCTTATTCACACACGAAATAAATGTCTCATTGGCAAATGTGATGAGATATAAGATATATTGCTTTATCTCTGATGCCTAAAAACAAACTGTTGAGAACGAAGAAAAAAATTAATAAAATTGTAAAAATATTTCTTTTTTGTGACTTGAAATCCGATTGTTTAATTTTTTGTGTTGTTCTTCGATATCATTCCAAGATAGATAAGCGCCGTAGTCTTGTTGACACATCGCACACAAATGAAATGTGAAATGACAACAGTGAGGAATGAAATGAATTTTTTTCCTGAGGAGAGATTTTTTATTTTAAATTGCGTCATTTTACATTCTTTGACTTCCAGGTGAGAATTGCAGTTTGATTGAATGATGATGTTTCTTATTTCTTGTGTCTTTTTGAATTATCTGCTAATATGATGCTTATTCAGGGAGCCGTTCACTTATTAGGGAACGCTGTAAGGGGGGGGGGGGGGGGTCGTTTAAGATTTTGTTACGGTCAAAACAAAAGAAATTTTTTTCATATAAATTTTGTTACGAGGGGGGAGGGGGGTCTAAAAAGTCGTTTTTTCGCGTTACGTAGCAAATAATGGCCCCCAGGTTGTTTTTTGGTTTATTAAAATCATAAGGTCAGTTAGAGGTTTGAACTTCAGAATCCAAAGCCTCCGCTCTTGTTAGTTTCAGCTTCTGAGTGCTATTTAAGTGGAGGTTGCAGACAGCGATTATTTCAACGATTTTGATCATGATTATCAATCGAAACATCCTTCTTTACCTTCTTCACTTCTTAAAAATTCGTATTTCATTTTTTAATGACCCTTTGATCAACTGGACCTTCAAAGATACTCGAAGGAGCTTTGAGACAATTTCCCGCTTTCTTTTGCCGACTTTACATATGTCCTCTTAGTCTTTAAATCATTGAGTTTGCACAACTTCACTAACTCGAAAAGAACAAGTCGGTTAATCGAATAGAAATCTGGTCCTAAACCCATCTGATTCTAGCATGGTGCAGGTTTTAAATCGAAGCCATGTACGTCCGGAATCATACCGGATTTCTTATCGATCAACCGACTTGTGCCATTCCGATAATGGCTTCAATCTCCAACCATTTTAAAGTCAGTGAATTGGTTGTTTATAATTTTATTTATTTCAAGTCAGTGTCAAAGAAACGTAAGGTCTTAAACTTAAAAAAGAACTTGTAAAGTAAGGGGCCATTCACTTATTACGTAACGCTTTTAGGGGGGAGGGGGGTCTAAGATTTTGTTACGGTTCAAACAAGGAAATTTTTTTTCATACAAATTTTGTTACGAGGGGGGGGGGTCTAAAAAGTCATTTTTTCGCGTTACGTAATAAGTGAAGCCCCTAAGTCAATTCATAAAATTCAGCATGGAAGTTCAACGTTCATTCCCAATGATAACATTTTTTTCATGCTTTAGTTGTTACAATTTAATTAAGTAAAGTAATTTATTCACCATTTGATAGAATCGTCGTCAAATGAACTTGCACGGTTATTCACGGTCATTTGCTTGATAAATTACGTTTTCATTTTCCTACTGTTGATATTAAAATTGTTAAACAACAAAAAAAACGTGCTATAAAAAGTACAAAATTGTTAACATGATATGTATTATCATTTATTACATGTGATTTATCTTTGAAATGTGAGCGGATATAAATCTTTCACTGTAGACGCTTCTGTTCTCATGTTTAAATGTTTCTAATCATTTAAAAGCGGTTTTTTTTTGTTGTTGCTGAATGAAATTAAATTAATTGTGAATGAGGTTGGATTGATTATTTCAATGGAAAAAAGGGGTTGTTCAGCTATGACGTCCAATATTAACGGTCATTTTTCAAAAACGAAAGATGGATTTCCAGGAATTTTTATTGTTTTTTTCTAACGGACCCCCCCCCCCCCCCCCCCCCTTCCAAACATAAGCTCCCAAACCATACTGAATTTCAGCCAGACGTACAGACAGTCACTCAAACAATGACTGATGAATGGACAAATAAATGCAAAAAGTACACAAACCAAATTTTTTTAACCAAAAGAAACTCCACAAAAAGCTTTAAAAAATTAAGTTCCAAAGTCAGTCGTCGCTCGCTCGCATTTATGGACATAAATTTTGTGGCATTCTTCCTCGCCGATAGAGAAAATTAAATTCTTCTGTTCTATATATTTTAATTTATGGTGTCCGAAGCGTGTTTGCATAATTTTTTTCATAAATTTTATTGTCTCAAATTTCCTGGCAACAAAAGCCGATGACATTCATAGCATGTATCTTAATTTATGAGCACTTGTTCCTGCTATGCCATGGGAGACTCTGACATCGAGGATATTGATATGGAACTTTTATTATTTTGGAAAATATTGGATGACATGGAAATAAGTTTTAGTACCTTTGAGGATTTTTTGTTGATTTATTAAATTACCGGTTTTTTTGTCAATTTTTCTGTATGAATTAAAAAGCACTTAATGGTATGTAGTTTGAAATTTGAGACAGTTGATGCCATAGCTGGGAAAATTCTCAGTCAAAAATGAGGAGATTTGTAGAAATCACCCAAAAATGCGCCTTAGCCCATCACCAACCAATTCCCACAAGAACCTCATTTTAATTTCGGAAGCATACTGTGTGACGATTAATGTTATGTATCTAGACCACTCTGTTGACATTATAAATTTCCTTCTTTTCGCTAGTTATGAAATTTTCGGTCAATGCTTGTGCTGAGTAAATTTAGACGAGAACAAAAGCTGATGTTAATTAAATGATAGCGATGACTCATCAAAGATTGATAAAATAATGCCTCGCGCTCATCAAACATTGAAGAAAAAGTTTAATTTTTAAACATAAAATTTATTGTTGTTTGGGTCATTTGGATTATGTGAGGAAATAAGGCCACAAGGCTTCTTTTTTTGGTTTGATAAAAAAGTTTTATTGAAAGCAAAAATGTAAAATTTAAAGCTTAAAGCAAGGGGAAAACTACTTGGGTGGTAAAACTTTTGATGAGAATTTAACATTTTTTTCAAATGATGGTAAAAATCGTAAAATTGAGAATTTTACCTTTTTTTCCTTTTTTTACGAAAAATTTCATTTTTTTACCCACCAAGTAGTTTTCCCCTGGCTTAAATTTACTTTTGAATGAATTTGAAGCGGTTTTTTTGCTTTTTATCACAAATTTGATGAGAGCATGTTAAAGTTTCTGCTTAATTCTGCCAATAAACAATCAAAAAGCCCATTAAAATGTTTTCAAAATTAGTTATTTGGTTTCAATCACATTTCAAGCAATGTTAGTAATTAATTCCATTGCTTAATTATGGAACAAGTAATTCTAATGTGTAAAATTTAATGTTAATTAATTATCAACATTTAATTACAGGTTATTTGAAACTTTAACGGTACATAATTTGGCTAAGGGGCCGTTCACTTATGATGGAACGCTTTTAGCGGGAGCAAAGTCTACGATTTTGTTACGGTTAAAACAAATCAAATTTCTTTTCATACAAATTTTGCTACAAGGGGGGGGGGGGGTCTGAAAATTTGTTTTTTTCGCGTTAAATAACTAAAGGCTGCACAATGAATCTAAAACAAAGCACGAGATGCTTAGCCAGAAATTTTTTGATGAAGAGGAACGATGGGGGGGGGGCACTACTCATTAAAAATCAAGGCTTGGAAACTATCCCAAATATCATATTTATCCCACATGTCCCAAAAATATTCAAAAAATTCCTGCGCATGTATGCACGATAATAAAGATATCCCAACGGTTCTTTAGTGTATTGGACGTGTAATTTCAGGATATGATGGAATATCTCAATTCTAATGCATCCAGGCTCAGGGATTATTTTGAATATTTTTGGGATATAATGGGATACTTGGGATACTTGGGATAGTTTACACGCCTTGTTAAAAATAGTCGATGTCATTATTGATGACCTCACAAACCCAATATCCAACCACAAACCAATTTTTAAAGACGTCTAAAGCCTAATTTCTCTAAAAGAACATCCAACAATTTCCATTTGTTACACAAAAGATTACAAAAAAAATATTTGAAAAAATAAACTTAAATCTTATCTAAATTTATGTTGCGTCGTAAGTTTAAGAAGAGTTTTTTTTGCAAATAAATATGACTTTAGAGAAGCTTACAAACGTTATCGTCTACGACATTCTCGAAGCTTCTGTATGCTTACAATCAAATTGGTTTGATCTTTACATTTTCAAGTGAATTTATTAAAATATTTATGTACAACATTATTCAACAAAACAAGCTGGATAAAAGAGAAGCAAAAAAAGTACTTTTATGTATAATTTATCAAATAACAAGACACGATTCTACAAGAGACAAAAGTTGAGATAATTTCCTCCTTCCTTTTCCTTGAACTTAACTTAATATACACACAAAAAAATGTCTGAATTTTATTAACCAAAATTACAGCACACTGAGCGGCAACCACATAAATATGGTCAAAATAATAATTTTATGGATATATGTAAAAAATAATATCACCAACATAACTAGCAGAAGATGAAGAAGAAGCAGCACAAAAAAACTGTCATAATTCTTTTTTTATGATGGCAATATCAAGCATTATATGCAAATATATTATTAATGTTTGCATGCTTAATGTTCCTCATCCTGCTTACTTTGAATGTAAGCATGGACTAGTGTAGTTGTGTAACTCTTTTGTTGGTGTGTATGAGCATACGCGTGTGATAGCATCTCATAGGAAATGAGATGATACAAATCTTCATTGTATTCATCTTTTAGAGCTTTTATGGTAAAGTGGATGTATGCATGGGATGTCCATATGGATCAATATTCAAATTATTTTTAAAAATTGTCTATTCAGCCTCATGAGAGTATTATCCTTTGCATGAAGTGTCCTGAATATAGACTTCGATGTGATTGATGTAAAATTGTTGCAGTGCCTGACATAAGTTCTTAATAGAG